CTGCTGTGGACAGGTATATAAAGACTTCCAGTCTAATGAGCAATATGTGCATCAATGAGCAAAATAGATTATGTGAGTGGAATCAATGTGAAATGAACTTAGTATTGACTTCAGAATGCTTCAATTGTTTAAAAGTTTAAAACAGCTTAAAATTTTATTATTACTAAAAGCCGTATGGTAAAACAAGAAGTACAAATTATCTAGCTGCAGTGTGCAAATAGTTTTTGTGTTTGTGTGTGTGTGTAAAGTCTCTCTATCCTTCTGCTTTGTATTTTCTGTGTAGGACATTTTGTTACTTCAGCTGCCACAGAAATGGGAAGGGAACAACTGAAAGGATTATTGATCATCATTAGGCGCCTGGCTGAGTCTAGAAAACATTAAGCAGCAGCAAACCCGTTGACACCACTGTGTACTTTGCCCCGGCAGTGCTTGGTGGCTGTAGTGCAGAAAAAGCAGTTGACTAAATTAATCTCAGCATGGATTAGGTAGAAGAACAAGAAAGGAGGGGTGGAGAAGAAAGTAGTACAAGAAGCTGATTAGAGTGTTGTGGGGGTCAAGCTAGGTAGATAAGGGAGAGATGAGAAAGGGGTTGGATATTCACGGAAGAAAGTTTTGCTTATTAGCCAAGTACGTGAAGAGCTGGGTTTCTTCATTGCAGGACTTCTATAACCTTTAATATGCCAAATTAAATTTTGGGTCCTGAAATGGAAATTATACTAATTTATTTATTATTACATTCACTTGTCTAGGATTGAAGCATCTTTAACATCTCATGCACGCTAGTGTTGGGCATCACTTTTTTGTGTATGCAGGTTCCTGCAGAACAGACACTGTCACAGTTGTTTTTTAGCATATGACATTTAGGGGCTCAATGAATGCTTATTGAATTGAAATGAATTATGAATTAAAGAGCCCTTTTAGAGCATTTATCAGAGCCTAACAATTATGTAGGCTTTTATTTTCTATTGGAAAAAGCATAGATGTTCCATGCAAGTGATCTGTAAGATAACTAGGGAGATAGTCTTGTAATTTGAGAACTTCCTGGTACTTTGTTGCTTTATTGTCATAATTATTTCAAAAGCAGAATAATAAAGTATTACCTGCATATGACCTGCCTTTTTTAAAAATAAAAGTATTTCTGAAATCTGAAAATGTCATTTTTAGAAAGAGTTTTTATACCTCTGTGTTTTAATTGAGTATAGACACTAGGGTAAGTGAAAATACGGATTACTCTAGATATTTCCAGTCATAATTTAAAATGTAGGCTTTTTGACCAATTATTTTAAACTTTTGAAAACATGTTTAATCAGTATTTTTGTATAACTCAAATCTGGTTAGTAAGCATTCATTATTAAGGAAAAATAATTGACTGCAGCACAGGACAGTATGTTTCAGCCGATAAACCAATTGCTCATTGCCATAAAGTGAAATATTGTTATAAAATGAAAAGTTAAGAAATTTAAACTTAGTTAAGAAATTTAAACTAAGTATTATATGTAAGAGCTTATTTGATTTGCTTTTCTAAAAAATCAGTGGGTGCTATATAGCCACAATCATAGTGGAAGCTTCCTCTTGCATCTCCCTTGGGAATGAAAGGATGTCTGTTATTGGAAGCATTACATCTTAAGCCATGAAACCCAAAATTAAAGTTCGGGGTCAGTCACTTTACAGAGCAGTTAAACGAGTAGCTACTGAGTCAATGAACCATTCAAAATTAATGTTGTTGATTTATGTACAATTTTATAAAAAGGAAAAAGTTTGAATATTTAAAGAATTTTAGTCAGAGTATTAAAACATTTCCTCTGCTTGTCCTTTTCTTCATGAAAATCAGAAATATTATTTCATCATTACAAATCTGGTGGGCGACATCTCCATGTTCATAAATGACTTCAAAAACCATTCATGGCTTTTAGTAGTATATGTAACTCACGGTTCTTTGTTTTGTCACTTCTTATAGTTGATTTATGTTTCATTTTGAAGTCAATTTCTTGATTTCATTTTCTTATTGTGAAATCATTTCAGTATTAATTTAAGTTGTGCTATATTTACATTTTGGTTTTTAGTTGGATTTTGTTTTGGTTTTTGCTTTTCCTCCGTTTTGTTTTTGGTTTTGTTTTTAACATTCCATGTGCACCCACCATTTTTTCCTCGACAGTGACCTACCTCAGGATCTTTGTCCTCTGTACAGGCCTGGAGAATGGGAAGACCTGGCTTCAGAAAAGGATATCAACCCATTTAGTAAGTTCAAATCCCTCAACAAGGAAAAACGACAGCAGATTGGAGAGAAAACCATCACTTCAGATCCCCAGTCAACAAGACCTTTGGAGACATCAACAGAACACACACATACAGAGCCCTCAGACAGCTCCATGTCAACGAAGTTAAAGAACTCAGAATCATCTGTGGAGGCAGCCCGTGGATCTGCCACAGTGACTAAAGTCAGCAAGGAACCTTCTGACACTCATACTACATTTGAATCTATAGCCAAAGAAAATTCTCTTTTAGGGGAAGATGATGACTTCATTGACCTGGAAGAACTTTCTTCTCAAACTGATAGCAGAATGGACAAAAGAGACACCTCAAAGGAGTGCCTTTCTCTTGATCCAGAGAAGCTCAGGAAGGCTAAGTCACAAATAATCAGCTCTGCTGCAGAAATGAAGATGCAGTCAGCCCTGAACTTTTCAGGAACAGAAAGTGATGCTGAACTGAAGGGGACCCTAGATTTAGAAACCTGTGAGAAGCAAGATAAAATGCCAGAGGTGGACAAGCAGTCTGGTTCCCCAGAAAGCCAGGTGGAAAACACACTGAACATACATGAAGATATAGATAAAGTCAAACTCATCGAATATTACCTTAATAAAAACAAAGAAGGTTCACAGTTATCTGATAACTCGCAGAAGGCAGAATTAAATGATGGCAAAAGTATCGAGCCAGAGGGAATAGACATCACCCTTAGTAGTTCTCTTCCCCAGGCTGGTGAGTCCCCAGATGAGGGCAATAAAGAGCTAGATAAAACCTGGGTGAAAGAGAGAGCGCCCCATTCACTGCAACTGGGCCATTCTACAGAAGAAAATATGCGTAAAGACTCTTTAAACTCCTCTTTGGAATCTACTCTGGACAACAGCTGTCAAGGCGCACAAATGGATAATAAATCTGAAATCCAGTTATGGCTGTTAAAGAGAATTCAGGTACCCATTGAAGGTAAGCCATGTAATGTCTTTATATTCTATTGTATAGCTGCCTTTCTAAAACATGCACATGTGCTAGATAGCACAAGGAGTACAATCATCTGAGAACAATGTTTTCTCAATAGAGTATATCTTTACTGATGGAATTATAATTGGGAAAAAAATAGCAATAGATGCTTTCTTGGAACTTGAAGTATGACATAGATTTCTATTTCAAAAGTTGTTTGCTTTAAAAATAACTTTAAAGTAACTTTTTTACCTTGAATTTCTAAATCTAAAGGAGTTTAAATATTTTTGAAGATATTTCAGTTCTAAACTGAATTGCATTATGATGTGATTTGGTCCTCAGTATCATTCATTCATTAATATGTATTTGTATTCTTGTGGATTGTCACAATTCTCCACTATTTGCTATTTAGTTGGTTTTTATGCTTATTCCCTATACATAGCATCTCATGTGATTTAGATCAACTTGAAACATCCAAAACTGTTTCCTTTTGTGCTCAAGAAGGTCCCAGTGTGATGACGACACGTAATGTTTCTGCCATGTTTTGATTTTCCATCACTAAGAGGGGATTGGACACTATTCTTTGTAAGTTGAAAGGTTTTACTGTCCCCAATATTGTCAATATTGAGGAAGATATTTTTTCATGTGTAATTCAGATATACTTCCTTCAAAAGAAGAGAAAAGCAAGACTCCACCCATGTTTTTATGCATTAAAGTGGGAAAACCAATGAGAAAATCCTTTGCCACGCACACTGCAGCCATGGTCCAGCAGTATGGCAAACGACGAAAGCAGCCAGAGTACTGGTTTGCTGTTCCCCGGGAGAGGTGAGTGGGCTAAAATGGAAGATCACTTGGTCAATTAAATTCTAATTGCATCTTGATTAATTTAAATTTAGTTTTAAAGTACTTAGTTGTATTCTTAAATAAGAGATTTCTCTTAATTGTACATTTTAGCATTTGTAGAATATTATTTGTGTAGCTTTTTCCTAAAGAGTGGTTTAAGTATAGCAAATTTGAGGTAATCATTGGTACTGTGTGCTGAACCACTTTCATAACTTTCTACCCAGGAGAATTTTAAATGAAGGAAGATTTAGATAGTCTTAAGTGCTGGTAATTAGACGTGCTCTTCTGCTGAGAAGAAAGGAATTCCATGGAGCAGATCTAAACTCCTCAAAGTGCTATAAAGAGGCACGATTGTAATTTTTAAAGTGCTTATTATTCAAGGGAAGTAAAGATTGATTTGGCCTTATGGAGGGAGTATCTGTGACTTAGCAGCTTCAGAAATGTGACATGAAATCACCTGATTGGATTCAAGGAAATGTATACCTCTAGAGAGATTTGTATTTTAAATTGCCAAAGAAGAAATCTTATTGGTTATGTAACAGTCTTGACTAGCAGGGTTACTGGCATAGAAATTCTTCAGCAGTATATCACCGAGGACATCTTTAGGATAAAAATAGGAAACATTATTTTTAGAAAAAATTAAGTATTTTCCTTTTGTATATATGGTATAATAAAAATGTTTTTTTAAAAGGCCTTGCAAATAGTTTTCAAAATTATTAAACCCACACATTTTTCCATTTCCTAACTATTCATCAAGTATCGGCATCTGGGCAGACCTTTTGGCACACAACTGCCAAGAGCAAATACCTTAAGCATGAATTGTTAAGAAAGCAAAATTAAATTCCAAGCAAGAGTACACTTTCTAGCTAATTAGTACCCAGAATAACAGTTCTCATCTGGAGTTGCTTCATTTTAATAAATTATAGTTTAATGTGAAAAATAGTAAGTAGGATTTTAATTAATGAATTTGCTAATATCTTTTCCCTGTCTTAGAAATCCAAATTAACATGAACATTAAACATAATTCATTCTGTAGTTATGTAATATACTCTGCTTATGCCTGCAACCCCCACAGGTATCTTATTGAAACTTTAAACTGGGGATACTGTGAAAATAAAAATGTGTCTTTTGTTGTTAATTAATATTTTCAACAGAAGCAACGTAAGTTTGTAAAGCCCTGTTAAAATTAGAGTTAGAGAATCAAATGTCAAAGCTGGACAATACCTTAGAGATAAGCCAATTTCTGATTTTATACGTAAGGAAAACAAAGCACTGAAACTTTCAGCCACACTGTGAGTTCTGTGGGCTTCTGGGGTCTATTAGAAAAACTACACATTATATGTGTTGTTTTTCTCTGGGAAAATGTATTGTTTATAATATAGGAAAACCGGGTGTTTTTTCAATTTTCAGTTATCACCTTTAACGAGGCTGTGTGCACCAAGGACTCTTCTAGAATAATGATAGCAATGTCACACATGCAGCTAATTTTACTGTCATTCTTTAACCCAGAAGAAATCTGTAATGCTGAAATAGTACTTTGACCTTTTATGCAAGCGGTTTTTGCGAACTTTTTAAAGTAGGTCATTTGTTGAATGCTGTTGTATTTTATAGTGTTCCTCATGTATCTGTCGTTGCCTAGCAAATAATGTGGTATACTTCGTTTTCTTTCTTGAATTAACTATTAATTAAACATTTTTCTGGAAAGCATTATATCTCACTGTGTTAATGATAGATTCTTTGTGTATATGTTTGGAAATTTTTGTTTTAATTGCTCTTTTATGTATTTCCATGTCTACCTACCCTAAAGGAAGGCACATTGTGGTTTAAGACTGGGAAAAATGGAGAAATCCTATAGCTAATTCCTACCCAGAATTCCAAGTACATAGTAAGAAATAAGAAAAGTTTATTTTTATTGTCAACTTGTGAAATTCTTCAGGAATTAAGGCTCAACAAAGTCTTTAGGGAGCCAAGAAGTGGCATGCAATGATTTTCTCACTCTGATGATGATTTCTGGATTCCCTTGATGTGTCAAACTGAGCATTTCTATTCAATGGATTCTTGCATGCATTGGAGTTTCAGCAGGCAAATGAGGAAGTTATCCTAGCAGTGGCTCCCTTTCTATGTTACAGTGTCCTCTCCTAGACCGTCTAGATGTGACAACTTAATTGGCAGGTCTCTGACTCACCAAAACTCCTTGTCACAGGAGAATAGTATTTTGATGTTGATATAACTTCACAATTGTGTTTCACTATGCCTCTCTATTATTCCTAATACTTTTTTTGTATGATGTATTTTTTATTGGTTTTCAACCAATTATGAAATAAACATTTATGGGTGCTACATAAGGAAGTAAAAAAAAATACATAGATGCTAAGAAAATATAGCCGTGCTTGGAATAGCAACAACAAAAAGTCCTAAGAATACAACGTGACAAGTGTTGACAAAAGTATAGTTCCTCTGAGCAATAAAGAAGCAAAATTAATGCACTTGGATTGCTCTTCATAATAAGGATAGCCAGAAATTTTATCAATATCAGTATTTTTTCTTGTTGTTATTACTAAGAAATTAATTCTATCAAAACATTCCTCTTTCATTTACAGTGTGCTCTGTGGCTCCCTTAACTCCATCATTGAATAGTCTACCAAGTAAGGGAATGGAGAGGGCAGGAGTCCGGAGAAGCAGTGATCAGAACCTGCATACAGTCTCCATCTCCTTTGCTTTCGGTGCACTTTTTTTCCTGCAATCCTTGTTATTAAATTTTAGATACTAAAAATTAGAGATATGAAGCGATTAAAAACTACCTAAATACATAATATCTTTTTTTTTTAACTTGGTAGAAGTTGTCAGAAGATCTGAGACCACTATAGATCCAGAAAAGCTGGCAGTTTTTTCCAGCACACTTACACACCGCTAGTTGAGACGTGTGCATGTTCACTGAGGATTAAATGCACATCAACTTTAAATCCTCCCTGTGTCTGTTGCAGCTTGCCAAGTCATGTACTTCTCTTGAATCAGCTAAAGATGATATTGGCATGCTTGGGAGATTTGAAAAGTGTCTAGAACTTGATTTACAAACCTGGGACATCTAATTTGTTCCTGCTCTTACTCTTGATGCTAATTTTAAACATAAGGACCATGGATAATTACACCTTATTTTAATTGTCTAGTACAGGATTTCTCAACTTTGTTACTATTGACATTTAGAGCTGCATAATTCTTTGTGTGGGGGTATGTCAATAGCACCTGCCCAGTTATGACAACCAAAAGTGTCTCCAGACATTTCCAGATGTCCTCTGAGGGGCAAAGTTGCTTCACTCTGAGAACCACTGGTCAAGTATTGAACTATGAGACCCCAACCTACACACCATTCTGAAAGTGATTGTGAGCCATGATAGCCAAATCATTTTGGGATTTGACTACTTAAAACTTTATTGTATTTGATTATATTCCCTGTGTATACTCGTCTGCATAAACTTTGTTTCTTTACTAAACCTGACACTTTCGGCAAATTATTTTATTAAGATTTATTTTTAGATTCCTTATTAATCTATACTTTTGTATCTTTAAAAACAACACTATTGCTCTTAAAAGTACATTTTATTCGTAAGGTAATCCACATTGATAGAGTACTGCAGGCAATAAGGCTGTTTATAAGCCTTTATTTTTGCACCTTCACATTGTACAAGCCTATGCTAGAAGTTATCTGAAGTACAAGCAGACAATACCATTTTCTGTACTGAAAGAGGTGTGGAGTCTTGGGCTACCCTGCTGTGGCCAGGGGAATAATGAGCCTCAGAATCAGGCAGAGATGAATGAGAATCTATAGGAATTGTGGGCCCTTTTACCCATTTTAAACAATTTCTTAACTTGAAAAATGGGTAATAGTGAGTGTTAAGTAATTGGATCATATTTGAACAGTTATTGAGTGCATACGTCCTGGCAGGCACTGGACTAGTTGTAGAGAAATAAAACTGGGACCATACCCCGAGGAGCTTATGAAAAGCTGTTGAAAACAATTCCTAGCACTTTCTAGAGACTTACTATAGATTGAATTGCAAAGATTTGGGTCCTGTTTTATATAAAAAAATAATTATTTTCTTTCTTTCTTAATTCCAGGATATTATTTCCTTTTCAAAACAAATAATTCCTTTTCACATTAAAACTTTTTTTCCAATTCTGTGTGGCCTATTAATCTCTGAAATGTTTTATAATAATTGATTTCATGTCATCCAGATTTTAAAATAAATCAGATGGAAGTAGAAATAAATATCAGGAATTATGTAGAATTTGCCAAGTCATGTATAAATGTGTAATCCAAGCTGAATTAATAGGTTAGTGTGATTTGTGTAATAAGTAAGCTAACGAGAGGAGAAGGGGGAGAGGGAGAGCCTGTGGGTATTTAAAATTTTTTTTAACTTAAATAATTATAATTTTAGTAATATTCGAATATACAGATAAGCAGGGGGGAGTGGGCAGAATCTATTTTGCAGTCTGCTACCCCCTCCCGCTTAATAAGTTATGCACATTTTCCATATCAAATACTACGTGATTTTATGTATATGTACAATATAGTTAGCACCCCCATGATATTTCCTGATTGATCAAATCTGCTTTGGATATTAGGTTGTTATGAATTTTTTGCCATTATAAGCAATGCTACATTAAACACCTTTGAAAAATCCTTCAGGTAGTGTTACTAAGTTGAAGAGTATCTTTAAGGCTTTTAAATACATGTTGCACATGAAAGCATGTGGCAATTTATATACCACCAGCATAAGAGTACCATTTTCGCCACATGCTGGAAAATCTAAGTAGTATGATTCTTTATCAATTTGGTAGATGAAAAAGGAAGTAAAAGTGACTTTAATTTTTTTTAATTTAATGGTCGAGTTGAGTGCTTGTTATGTAGCATTCATTTGATTTAAAGTGGTCATAGTGGCCTAAGGATTTTTATTCTATGTGACTCCTTTAAATAATTTATT